ATATATATATATATATATATACGTGTATTATCTGCCAGAATTTAATTTATTACATTATCATGATCATGATAATGTTAATCCCTTTGTCACCCAAGTCGTTCTTATCTGTTTAGCAGACTCCCCTCATAAGAATCTACGAATTTTTCCTACGTCTCGAAGGATATTTACAGTGCGTTAGTAATAACTGTAATTTCCGTTTTATATTATATTTTAATTAAACGTATTTTTTCTTACGCAAAGAATTTAGATAACTTCGAGCTGAATAAAAATGAAGTTAACATTGAGAATATACAAGCTGAATCTGTGCTCAGAGGACAAGGACCGCGCAGACCACCGAGAACAATTATAATTGTACAACTACATAGTGTAGTGATTATAAAACTACATGGGATGTATGGTGTCCTTCAGATTCTGCCCCGATATCCTCGTGAGGGGCTCTTCGTCGAGATCGTTGGAGATTTAATTCCAACGTTCGTCTTCCTCATCCTCCTCGTCGTGCAACGAATCTTTCCTGAAGAATGCAGTTGTAGTTTTTTATATGTATATTAAAAGATACACAAAAGATATCACTCTTTCAATGTAATAAAAATTGAGCGCAAGAAGAAATTAGAAAAAGAAGCTTTCGAGAAATCTTTAATTAAAGTGGAGCTCTAATTATTTAAGTTCTTTTTTTTTTTTTTCTTTAAAAAAATTCCTGTGGGTTACACCAGACAAAATCTTGGAAATTTTTCAATATTATTCAATATTATACTAACTGATACTTGTTATTGGATGGCAGAAATAAAGATTTCGGGCAATCTTTGAAATAAGGCCAGCAGTCGCCGTGAAACTTCCCTCGATTTTCTGCCTCGACGTATTCGTTAAGGAGGTTTGCAAACGGCGATCGGTTAGCGCTACAAACAAAATATCTAGATTAAATACAACATTATTTAATATGATTCTTTAAAATGTACTTATTACTCTATAGATGACTATTTACTCTCTAAATTTTTTGGAGTGAAATCTTACTCTAAACAGTAAAAATTAAATCTTAAAGAAAAGTAAAGACAATTTTCAATTTTTAAGAGTACAATTTTATTTTTCAGAATGACAATTTAATCTAAAACTTTTAGAGAGTACATTTTATGAAACAAAATTGCCCGGCAAGATCCTCTCCTAAAGTTTCTTGCTACAGTTTTACGAATCGGACTACTTACGTGAAGAATAGCTTCAACATCTCGCCGATAAGCCCGAAGTTGTTCAGATGGTGTCCCTGGACTTCGCAGATTGCCCTCAATAGGCATGCCTTCCCGTTCATTCCCAGAGTAGAGAGCATATCCTCGGCAGTGCCATAAAGCAGGGCTCGCTCGCCGTCACTACCGATGCTGAAAATCTATAATATAGTATACATAACGCACACTGTATAGTTTCAGCATTGACAGTGAATATGGTAACGCACCCTAAGTCAATTCGACATACCTGCTTTAGAAAATCAAACGAATAACACCAAGTCACATTTGTGAAAATTGTATTAAAATTGACAATTTTTCAGGTTAGAAAACTTGTCACGCTCGCGCCGGTTCGCGCATGCATATAAAGTATTATAGAAACCCCTTAACGTGCACGTTATGCGACATCCTTTTCTACAATTACGTTCCTCTTTTTATTGATTCACATTAATATCCGCTGATTCGTATCGACTCGCACCGATTCGTACCGCGACTCACACGAACTCGCACGAACTCGCACCGTTCGCACCTCGACTCGCTCTCAACTCGCTCTCTCATTTTCACTACGGTGAAAATGGGTGCATCCAGAAGCATGACTGCTCACTGAGCACTCAGTGAGCTTTTTTATCTGATTGGCATATTCCATTAGATCTAAAAATATAAACCAAACAAGTACAAGAGCTCACTGAGCGCTCAGTGAGCGGTCGTGCTTCTGGATGCACCCAATGTGAATCATCTCGTTTTCCTTTACGGCAACTCTGGTGATTTCGTATTTTCACCTTGACGTTATAGAATCGCGCGAACAAACTCGCATGAGATGAAAGTGCGAAAAGTGAGTGATCTCACTTGAATTACAGAATCGACCCCCTGTTCCCGTAACACTGGAAAACCCTCGGCCTACTTGTGATGACGTCACAGTGATGTCCGAACGAGGTGGAGAGGCCTTGTCTATAAGTGGTGTTGGCCTCGCCCGGTCGCCATAATTGTTTCCCGCTTTTCTATACTAGTTTCACTCCCGTGACTACGCACATTGAGTGCG